CCCCCCCCCCCCGCCCCAGTCTAATGGTTACCAGCTTCAATAAAACTTGTGTAGTGAGTATTACAATGTCATTTATAGGACACTAAGGCCGCCCCTCATGCTTTAATGTAGTTACAGCCCACTTGGCTGGGCCTCTCCCTAAACCCTAAGCCACTGGGACATCAGAGCCGACTGGGAATGGTACGATCCCCCAGTCACAGGCTCCTGTGAGGGTCAGAATCACATTGCCAGCGGGTTCCAGGGACCACTGCTTTATGGATTGAATCAATCAGAGAATGAATGGATTATTCTAGATAAGTCTTTCTTTATGTGTTTATTAAGAAGACAAATGTGCCTCAGCTGAAATGCTTTTCGGTCCTGGCCAGTGAAGGACAGTGCCTACTGCAGCTCTTACATAGAATAAAATGCTCATTATTTTTCTCTTGTTCATTTAGCTGCTTGTGACCTGTGACCTATGAACTATCACACAGGGTTTTTTTCCAGTACCTCCACACACCGCCATACCATGAATGCCCAGTCCCAGCATAAAGTGCTGCTTTCCTGCCTTTTCTCACTCTTTTCCTGTGATGGAAAAGCTTGGGCTCTATTCAATGGCATGAAAGTCAGGGACAGACACTCAGATACTGCTCATCTGGCTAAAACGGGCCGCACTCTTAAAAAATGAGAAGAGGCATGAAGCCAAGGCGATGACAGAACGAAAGAGATTAGTCTGTAAAAAGATCGGGCGTGATGACAACCTTGTAATGAGGAAGCTTAGCCTTTACTAACCGAAAGAACAGAGAAAGCTGTGCTATATTGAACAGAACCGCATGTGAGGGAGCAGTTGGCGAAACTCAGCCTCTACCCCAGAGCCACTGCCTAGCATCCAATCAGCTCTCAGCAGGAGGCCACGCCTTGCGGACGGCAGGTTTTCCACGCTACTCTGGCCAATAAAAACAGAATCTCTTCACCTCCACACTTAAGCACTGTGAACGCGCACACCCAGTGTAAAAATATCAGTCGCTACCCCTGTGTTGATGGGCCACGTTTTCTTTGAAGAGAAGCCCAGCACATGTCAGGAAGACGGGCAGGGAAAGAATCTGAGATGCTCTCGGGCACTGGGCCGAATTGGGTGCCCGTGGGGCTCCTGTAATTTCAACTGGGCCTCGTTTACAGAGTTGACACCTGCCCCCCCTCCCCCAGAATGGTCTCCAGCGATAGGCCTGAGTAGCCCAGGCTCGTGATCGAGCGCCCACACCTTCAACGTCATTTGTTGGAAAGTCAAGCGTTGCCTGGAGAAACGATTAGGACACCCCGATTACTCTCGCACTGCGTTTACACTGGTGCTGGCGCGTCCCCTAAGCCTGTTGTGGCTTTTATTGGTGGCTTTGTGCATTTGTCATGTCCTGACACCCCGATCCCAGGCCAAAGCAGATGTTCCTGCCCCAGACCTCTGTCTTTCTCCTTGAAACGGAAACAATCCCTCAAGGCTCTGTGGCCATACATCTCTCAGATGGATCTCTGCTCTGTAGAATATACTCAAAGGAAAATACATTTAGGTTCACCAAAGAGCGTGACCCAGGGCGTTCAAGTGGCGATGGGCTGCATGCTCCCCATTGCTGGGATGTGGGTTATGTAAGCTGCTCTTTCTGTGTTTACAGATTAGCTGTTTCTTTTATTTTCTATAGTCTGCTATGCTTTAATAACAGGTGGTTATGAAGAGATGTGAAAGAATCCGGTGGTAGATTTGAAGGATCACATCTGCTTGATATGTTAGCAAGAGTCTAGTGGAATAAAGTAAATGCTATGTGTTAGGTAATTTCTGTTAATATGTTTGACTTTAATTTTATGCTTAAGAGATTAATGAATGTTTCAAGATAGATTTTTCTTTGATTTAGATGTTTGAATGTTTCAGACATTCTCAATTATTGAGTCGTGTTTAGCTGTATTAGTGTTTCCATGTCTTTGTGTGTAACTGTAAAACACACAATGCTTTGTAGTGGCGCTTCCTGCACTCTTACAGCTGTGTTTAGTTGTATTAGTGTTTCCATGTCTTTGTGTGTAACTGTAAAACACACAATGCTTTGTAGTGGCGCTTCCCACACAGCTACAGCCGTTCCAATAGGAAGGCTTTGGCAGCCACAGTGGACACATGTGAGCAGACACAAAGGAGACTCACTGGGGCGTTTGTGCTAGGCTGTGTGTCTGGCTGACTCTGTGTGCCCGGTTTTCACATTGTGGGGAGGGGGGGGTTGGCAGGTCTGCTATGGGCAGCCTGCTATCAGGGAAGGTGACACCCCCTCCCCCAGTTCTGTCTGGGGTGTGTGCCACCAGCTTGGGCAGTTGCTTCATCAGACAGCCCCACACTCGTGATACGAGCCACAAATCCCACCCCATCCCTTCTATCCACTTGCCTACCACCCCAGGCTAGACAGGCAGGAAAATTGATGACAGCAGCCATGTGAATATTCTACCTCATCAGGAGGAGTGCGACGCCGCGGTCAGTAAAGGCTGGCGGGGGAGATAACGGAGCGATCTGGGGGTCAGGGGTCACCGCGCCAAATGGAGTCAAAAGGGACCAGCGCGGTTATCAAAAGGGAAACAAGCAAGCAAACAGAGGCGTGTCCCCGCTGACGGCCACATCATGATGGATGTGCTGCCCGCGGATCCCGTCTGAAACGAGATACGGGCGGAAGCGGGTAATAGGGACTCCTGTGTAATAACAGAGATGGAGCTGTAATGGATTCCAACTGAATCCTATTAGGGCTACAGCAAAGGTGCAAAGCTCATTCATTACAGTACAGTACCGCAGACAGAGAGCGATGGCAGGATCAGGAGGCTGCGGGACTCAAAAGTGCTTCCTGCTTCCCAGCTTATCTGTCTTTGGCCTCTCTTCCCCACCTCACCTTTGATTGGTCTTTGAGGAAATTAACCGGAACAGAAGGTGACATTATATCTGACTCCCTTAAGGTTTGGGGGTCTTAGGTTACTCTTGTCACAATTAGGTGGCTCACTGCCCCTGTACTGTATGCTGTTTTACACCGAGTGATGGTGATCAGTGGAGTCATACGTGCAAAATTCTGGGTTTTTGCCAAAGTATCTGTAGGCATATGGCTGTTGGTTCCATGGAAACGGTGATAAATTGCAGTTTATTGTTTGTAAGGGTGCATGTCTCAGATCTCCCTCATCTCATCATCTTTGTGCAGGTGGGAAGGGTGGGAAAAAGAAGAAGACAAAGAGCAGCACCAAGACTTCCAAGGCCAATGGGTCGAGCTGGGCCAATGTACCCCTGCCCCCACCTCCCGTGCACCCGCTCCCTGGCACTGAAGTGGACAGCTACCCCAATGATCCCCACGAGGGTGGAGGGTAGGTCTACCATTCTCACCCACAGATCACTGACTACCAACACATATGGAAATTATGGGAGGAAAAGTCAAGCCAAAATACCTGTCTGGAAATGATCCAGCCAGATGCCCCAGAAAGAAAAAGTAACTGCTCTGCATAGGTGTGGCGTACAAGGCCCATTACACGCCTGTGCTCACCTGTAGCCAGAACGTCGAACAGATGCAAACCAAATGTAGGGAACTACAGAGCAGGGCAACAGATCCAGATGCCCCGGGATGCCCTAGACGCCTAGGCTAATGGAGATAGTCTCTAATTGCTGTGCCTTGCATGTAGTATACATTAAAGGCCATGGCAGTCCCTGCACATGGCGTCCATATTCCTGCGGTGTAACTGCTGAGCTGCATGCAGAAGAAGCCTGAGGAGAAGTTTCTTGAGGAAGCCAGGTAGACAGACGAAGGTTATTCATCTAAAGCAATGTTTCCTAATCCAGTCCTCGGGGACCCACAGACAGTCCACGTTTTTGCTCCCTGGGAGCAAACACTGATCTAAAGGAAGACTTCCTGACTGCTTCAAGTCATTAGTGGCTGAAAACTGCTAAGGCAGTACAATCCCATGGGGATTTGATGCTACAGACACAGGCTAAGAGCAACTAAGAAGAACCCTTCCTTTCCTCGACAATTGCTGAATTTATGCTGATTAGGAACAGGTCTCCCTCTAAGGGCTATATTAGAGCGCCACCCTGGCCTGCAGAGGTGTCGAACCTCAGGCTCTCACAGGCCGCTCACGCTAATCCAGGAGCCAGGGAGCTCCGGGCTGAAACTTGCCCCCGGAAGCAGCCTCTTGAATTGTTGCCAAGTTTGCTTCCTACAGAGCGTGCTAGCGCTCCACCGCCATTAATTCTCATCTTGGAAAGTCATTGGGCTTAATAGGCTATCTGGCAAATGAGGATCCCTCAGCCCTGTAAATCTCTGCACCCTCTTATTGGCAGCAGATTAAAACTGTTAAGTCCTGCGAGGTGTATGCTGACAAATTCTTTTAATGAACATTTTCTTTATGGCTATTATTATTTCAAAGGGTGTAAGCTTGGTTATGGGTTGTGAAACTGACTTTTTTTCCAAGACTGCAAAAGATACCACTAAAATGTTAGCCCCTGTAAATTGTCCCTTAACAATGGCAGAATAGCCTGTAAAAAGAGTTTTTGTTAAACTAGGTAACATTTTAACTAATGTGTGTAATGATGTGTTTCCTGGCCTGTCTGCCCCAGGTATGAGAGCGATGGCTGGGGTCCACAGGTGCCCGTTCAAACCTACCTGCATCAAGGTCTCGAGGATGAGTTGGAGGAGGAGGAGCGTGTGCCGACCCCGCCCATCAGGGGCGTGGCCTCTTCCCCCGCAGCGGTGTCTTTCGGGCAGCAGTCCACCGCAACCCTCACGCCGTCCCCCCGCGAAGAGATGCAACCTATGCTGCAGGCACACCTGGACGAGTTGACGCGGGCCTACCAGCTAGACATGTCCAAACAGACCTGGTGAGAGGTCAACAGGGATTCACAGGGTCAAAGGTCGTATGAGTCCAGTTAGAGGTGAAACGGAATGCAGAGCTGTCGTGTCTGAGGTCCACTATGCTCGGTCCTGCACTGATGAATGATTGCAGGCATGTTTGAAGGCAGGTTCAAATACTTCAAAGGTATTAGCACACTGAAAACGGATCCATACCCAAAATACACACACGCGTTCGCTCATCTGCAAGGTCTGCGCACCCGTGCCTGTTCCACACGTTCAATTTTGCGCAATCAATTTCTGCGGCATTCATGCAAGGCAAATAAAGGCCGTGTTTCATCCTGTCATCCAGAGCGAGGCAGAGGGGAAAGCGGAGGGCTGCCGTCTTACCCTGTAATCACTGGGTTGGCGCGAGTACGGTTTTGACAACAGGAAAGAGCCGGTAATTACATGCATGTCCTGCCACAGGCCTCGTCGCAGGCTGCCAGCACCATGAGTGCCCACACCGTGATGGACTGGTGGGTGACGGACAGCCCCTCTGGCCGGCGCTCTCTGCATCCCATTGCACCAGTCACAGGGTCATTATGCTGCCGTGCCACTGCAAAATGAGTGGGATTGTCCCGGGTTACAAACCCTGTGTACAAACCCTCGCTTCACTCGTTGCTCACTGGTCCTTCGCTTCTTTAAGCCCCGCCCCCTCCATCCAAGTAGACTAGGGTGCTAAGTGAAGTAGTGAAGTCATCCATATGCCTTTATTGAAGGCCAGTCAGTGGGACTCTCCTTGGGGGGAGGCTTGCTGTACCTCTTGCAGATTCGATGGGGGTTCACTTACATCCTTTGCTCTTGTCACAGGCACATGCAAGGGGGTCCTCACCCACCCCAGGCCCCCGCCCCCCCGGTCGGCTACGTGTCCAGCAGCCTGGTGTCCGATTTGGAAACTGACATACCGGATGATGATGATGAGGATGATGATGAGGAGGAAGATGATGAAGGCTACGAGATCTCACGACCACTGCATGGCATGGAGCATACACCTGGATCCAGCATGGATAACCTGGACAGCTCTGTGACGGGTGAGTGCTTAAGCTGCTGTCATCAAACAGTTAAACACATCTGCTCCTGCTTCACTGTAAGACAGGGGTGGGCAATCTTATCCACAAAGGGCCGGTATCCGAGTTTTCGCTGCAACTTCCTAATTAGATTACTAATTAGAGAACTGATTGGCTGAAGAGTCCTCACACCTGGGTTTGAACAGCTGACCTACAGGTTATCCCAAAAACCTGCATACAAAGAGCATACATGCTCTTTGCGGATAAGATTGCCCACCCCTGCTGTAAGATATAGGTATACATATGTGTCCTGCTCTCTTATTGGGTCCTTATACAGTCATACATATGTGTCCTGCTCCCTCATTGGGCCCTTACACAATCATACATATGTGTCCTGCTCCCTCATTGGGCCCTTACACACTCATACATATGTGTTCTGCTCCCTCATTGGGCCCTTACACAATCATACATACAGTATGTGTCCTGCTCCCTTATTGGGCCCTTACACACTGATAGATATATGCCCTGCTCTGTTATTGGGCCCAAGCACAGTTCTACATATTTCTGTTTTTCTATTCCTTTTCCCTTTTTCTTGCCATCAGTCTTTATAAGCACGACTGACAAGCTAGTACTGAAAATTAATACACAATCACATTAACCTCATCATTACATCAGCACAGGCTTTCATGTTCTACTCAAAGGGCAATTTATCAGTGACAATATATCAGTGTCTCCAATAGCTTTTAGTTTTTATTTATAATGTTTTATGAGTTATAGAGGAAAATACACAGTACATTAAAGAACGGAAAGAAGTAACTCAATAGCTGTTTTCATAATACTATCAAACTGCCTGTCAAATGAAGTTCCAGTTAGGCTGGTAAGTATGTTTTTTTTTTTGAATCACACAAAGCTCCCTTGTTTAGCCTGTGGACGCTAATGCAGGGTCGTTATTCTGTGTCAGGAAAGCACCGCTTATTGTCAATTACGCGTGTAATAATTTGCTGCTCACCTGAAAATGGATGTATTTCGATCAAATTTTTGGCAGCTTTTTTTTGGCAAACAGAGGAATTATAATAATCACTGCAAAGGGAGATACGAAAGTTCCGTGCGTCTGCTGCCTGTCGTACGCTGATTAGGGTGCTGGGGAACCTGCTGCACTCATGCAGGACCCCTGCAGGACAGAACGGGAACGTGACGGCACCGCTTACAGCCACACGGCGGTCCTCATGCACGAGGCGAGGTCACCCCTGAGACAGCTCGCCACCAATCAGGCATGCGGCCTGTTTTATTTTCACGCCCAAGGAAGGATTTTGCTGTTGACTTATCAGGGAGGAAACCGTACATTTTAGTTGGTGAAAGAGGCCAAATGTATAGCCTAGGTTTTGCGTACAATATCTATTAGGGTGGCGTGTGCCTCTGCGGGTTGGGACTCTGCGCCTGGGATCAGAAGGTCACTGGTTCAAATTCCATGGCTGGGTGACTTTAATGGGCCATGAGCGCAGCTCTTAACCCCAATCGCGCCTGTAAATGTAACATTGGTTCCTGAAGCCTGGTTTGCCGTAACTGGAGCACCAGTCGTAAACAATACGCCAGTTGAAGTTCCCGGGCTTAGCTGCTGTCTCCCCCTCACTGCATGCGGTGCCCCCCCGCCCCCCAGCCTCCGCGGCGCCAGTGTCCCCTCTGGGACAGGGACGTGAGGTCTGTCTGGAGGCCTTGGCAGTAGCTGGGATGAGGTTTTGCTCGGGATGATGGAGCGGCAGCCTCGCTGGCCATGACACAGGCCCCCGCTGATATATTTAGACGAATATAAAGAAGCAGGAGCTCTGTAATCTGCAGCATCTCCGACGCGGCGCATTACTCTGAGGATGGCACTATTTCTCCTTATCGCTGCACCAGTCCCCCCTCCCCGCACCAGCTTGACAGGACCGGCCCAGCACCGGCTGCTCATGGTGGGGGCGTGTGTCAGGGGGTGGGGGGGACTCACCACAGATCCATCTTCTCCGCCATTTTATGCCACTGGAGCTGCTGGAGGGGTGTGTGGAGGGGGGGGGGGGCGGTTGGCCTGGATTTTCTCAGCTTTAGAGACTTTAAAATGGGCCCTTTTTCACATTTAATCTTATTCATGCACAGAATCAAAAAGACCCAATCAAATAGACTGTAGACTCCATTTAAAGATACAAACACACAAATTCAAAAACACCAAAAAGATATTTAGCTGAATATATTTCTTTCCACATTTCTGGTATATTCCACAGCGCTGACACACAGTATATTGCCTATTACCATTTAATGCATAGTACAACGCCATTTTAAGAGCGAGGTCGCTGGATTTCCCCACATAGGGAGTAGCACTTCCTGTCTACGGTATGATGGATGTGTTTAATATGCGAGTGTTATCAGCGCCTCTCTGGGCTGAGGTGGCGCTCTGGCTGATTTTATCCCCTTAAACAGCAGCGGGGAGTGAGGTCACGCGTGCCAACAGCAGGTGGAGACGCCCGCTCGTCAAGGAAAATGATTCCTGTGCTTAACGATATGCAGATGAGAGCCCATCAGGATAAATCAGTTTTAGCGCTGGCGCCATGGGGTGATTTATGGGCCTGGATCGCGATAACAGGTTTTGGAACCGGAGGTGCAGAATTTTCCGGAAGCTGCATGGCTGGTCCCAGTTCGTTTTTGCTTTTGACTTTGCAGGGAGTTTAGGGGATTCTTAGAGGAGCATTGATTCAGTTTTCTGTTATGAGACAATGTCTTGCAGGAGGTATAAAGGCAGCTTCAGGGGTCTGTTTGATCCCAAAGACACCTTCATGTCCTCCCTCTGCTCCCCAGTGTCTTCTCTGTCACTCCCCAGCGCTTGGGCATCTCATTCATGCCTGCCTTTGTTTTTTGCCAATAAGATACAAGGAACAAACTCTTTCATTCCCTCTCACAGCTTATTCACTTAGTCTGGGACTTAAGCTTATTTCTATTAGTTTGCTAATGAAAGGATCTATTCTCAGACATTCCTTTGTGTGTGTGTGTGTGTGTGTGTGTTTATGAAGGTCTCCTTGAAGGCTGTCAGCTCCCTTTCACTGCATGGCCTTGGGGGAGGGGGGAGGATCAGAATAACACACAAAAATAATGGCCCCCATAGCCTTTATGCAGCTACAGACATTTAGTGAACTGTCCGCATGTTTCTGGTAATCGTGCTGCAAACCCTGCAGCGATTCCATTACCAGTCTCTGTAACTTCCCCAGGAAAGCCCCACACCCCACGTAGCAGCCTGTGGAGTGACTGCTGCCCTCTGTTGGCCAGCGTTCAGGCTGTCACCCCTGGCTCCCTGCTGTGTTAGCCTCGCTCCCTTTCACTCCAGCTCTCTCTCACTGTCTCTCTCTTTCTTTCTCTCTGTCTCTTTTCTTTCCTGATCTCATCTCTCCTTTCTCAGCCTTTCCCCCCAGTCCATGGTTCTACCAGCCCCTGTCCCTGATGGAAAACCTGCTGAACCCCGTGTGTGTGTGTGGATTATGTTTATATTATGTTGTGTGGACCAAATGTAATATCCCCCACAATGTGATAAAAACCTGTTGTTTTGACATTGTGGGGACCATTTGTGGGGACCAAAGATCCTAAAATGCAATCAAAAAACTATCTTATATTTTGTTTGGTTACTTATGGTTAAGGTTAGGGCTGGGCAGGGGTTAAGTTCGTCATGTTGGGATTAGAGTTTTCCCCTTAGAAATGAATGGAGAGTCCCCACAAATATATAATTACAAATCAGTGTGTGTGTGTGTGTGTGTGTGTGACTGTGACTGTCTCTCTCTGCCTTTCCCTGTCTGTGTGTGTGTTTGGGCTGGTGCCACTGTTATCCCAGGCTGTTTGTCTCACAGAAGCCAGATGAACACTGTCATTTCTGAGGACTGTCGCGTTATTATGCAGATTAGCAGATTTTTGTTGGCTGATGTTTTTGAGGAAAAGCAATAAGCTTTCAATTAATTAAATTTATATTCAATTTAAAAAATTAGTGCATCACTTATGTTTTTATTATCTAAAATGTATGCATTTTTGCACGCACATGCTTAAAATATTTGCATGGGCCCCCAGATCTCCAGTTATAGTTTAGAAATCTGTGTAATAATACAGTGTTGCAAGAGATCCCTGCGAGAGTTAGACTACCTGAGACTGCCATGTTGTCTACTTATTACATCACATTAACTGATTGGGGAAAGACCACAAGAAATGTTCAGTAATTACGATAAAATTAGCTCTATCAATTCTCCTGGGAATTGTAGAACATTGCAATTTATGTCTCAGATCAATTTCAAAAATTGCCTATATTAGTGATGAACTCACTAAGACTGACACACAAAGGCAATGAAATGCTTTTTTCTGGTTTATGAAACACTGTAAAGTGGTGACTTTTTACCTGAAAGCAGCTGTTTGCAGATGCCACTTGTGATAAATGTACTGGGCAGCGGCACCATTGTCAGTAACACTATGTAAATATGCGTCAGTGATATTTGCTTCACTTTAGCCAGGCCTTTTAACAGGGAGGGAATCGCTGCTAGTTATTGATTTTTTTGGGGTCAAAAAAATTGGTTTCTGCTGTGAATGACAGTGTACAGTGGTACAAGGGATCTCCATGCAATCCCTGTGCTTACACATTCTTATTAGTATTTTCTAGAATCACTTCTGTGTTATAAAGGCATATTTGGGATTGTTCTTGAGAAATATATGTGGTGTACTTGTGTGGCCCTATCCTGAAGGTTTGGCAACTAGAATATGCAGCAGACTCAGGTGCTCATACCTGCACTAATAGGTAATCGGCATGAAGCATCACAACACATCTAATGGGGGGGGGGCTGTTCTTCACTGTATCAGTGAGTGATTGGGGAAGATTAGAAAGGCAAGAGGTCAGGCCTGCAACAGCATGAGTGTGATGTTCCAGCAGCCTGAATTAATCCACCAGACTGTAATTACAGCAGCTTAATATCGTTCCTACTTACGTCTACAGGATGCATCGATCCAGAAGCCCCTGCAGCCCAAAGCGCGCTTGATCACGGAGCCCCTTTCCGTGGGGTGTCCAGCATTAGTGTCCATTCCTACCCTGCATCACTGCATAAGTTATACCAGCTTATCAACATGAATAAACTGGTATCAGCTTTTGTGTGATTGTGTGGAAAAACACCAATGAAAGGGCCTGCTTCAGAGAACATTACACCTCCCATTTCTGTGTAGCTGTATAAATGGGGGAGACGCATCGGCCAATCACAGAAGGGGGAGTGAATCTGCAGCCAAAATTACAGTTGATGTGCTTTGATTTGTGGCACAGAATAGCCTGATTGATTTATCAGTCATCCAATCTATAAGTGGTTGCGTAGAACCATGGACATGATTTATGGTCAGGAGAATACAGATCTGAAATAAAGCCTGCCATGTTATTGCCAAAATTAATATTGGCTATTTGATATTTGTCGTAATCGTCCCTTAACACACCTTGCCTGGTGTAAAGGAGCTTTGCATTCATTTCCATTCCGTTGGTTTTGAGTTATAATAAAATGTTTTTATAGAAGGTTTTGCATTCAGAAGCAAAAACGCGCAGAGGGGGCTGGTGGGTAATGAATTGTTCTTGTTCCGGCATGTAGTGCTTGCCACACACAGCAATACGGTGCTAGAGGAGGGGAAATTATTTGATTTGAAATGGACGGCTGAGAGTGGATATTGTTATTTAGTGCTGTCAGATTAGGGCATGTTTCACACACACTCACAGAAACATAAACACAGCATCACACATCCCATTTGCATTTCCACCTGTAAGCCGATTTCCCATTGAATTCTGATTTAATGCAATTCACGAGCTGTAATCAAATCCCAGAAAATTCAAACACAGACGAAAATTGTTAATAAGCATCATGTGTTGGCACTACGTTTTTTTTAATAAGGCTGTTTAGTGGGAATGTGAGCACAGAATCGGCTTTTTAAAGAGGACATTTCCCTGTGCTCTGCTCTCTTCACACACACACACGTATATGTGCACGCACACGCACCGTGCTCATGGCCGTGTGTCCCTCAGGCTCCATGGTGAATGGCTGGGGCTCGGCCTCTGAGGACGAGCGTAACTTCTCCAGCCACAGGTCCAGCGCTGGCAGCTCCTCCGACGGCTCCATCTTCACCCATGCCAGCTTCGCCCAGGCGCTGGTAGCAGCCGCCGACAAGGCAGGCTACCGCTGTGACGGCACCAGTCTGACCAAGAGAGGTCGGTCCGGGGGCAGGGGGCCCTGCCGCTCCTCGGAGGCTCCCCCTCCCTTCCTCCTGCTCTCCACCCCTCTCTCCAGGGGACCTGCAGCTGTCTCTGGGCATGCATGACGCTCGTGCAAGTGGCTCTGTGCTCGGTGACACCCCCTCACCGACCCTGCTCTCCCTTTCACTTCTGCAGATGAAGGGTGCTGAGCTCTCTTCAGACCTATGAGTGGCTGACATGCTTTTTCTTGACCTCGCTCCAGAATGCTTGAATCTGATTGGCCAGGAGATCTGTGGTTTCGGGATCTGTGGTTTTTTTCATGCCTAATTAACAGATGCTTTGATATGGCTGTTAAATTAAAGCGGGTCGTATCTACAGTCCAATGCTTCTGTGCTTATCTGTACTATTTACTTTGTTGTTTCAAATGAATAAGCTAACCCTGCCTCTCTCTATCGCCCCCTACAGGAAAAAACTTTCCCCAGCGGCCACGCCCCAGTAGTCCCTTCTCCACTGATGGCAGTGTGGTGGGGACGCAAAGCCTGGGCCATCAGAGGGCGCCCCGGCCAGGTCGGAAACAGAGAGGTGGCCGGCTGGAGCAGCGCCGAGACGCCGGTGCAGACGGTAGGGGGAGGGGGTTCTGTGCCATGGAGAGCATGACTTCCTGAAGGTGCTCACTTTGTAGATGCAACTGACCCCTCAACGCCCAAGGTCATTCAAGTATTTTGGGATCTAATTTCTCACCGTTCTTCATCATGCAGACCTACCTCCTCCGCCTGAGCCCCCACCCTGCCATGGGGCCCGCATGGCAGTCCCGCGTGCCCCCCCTGGTGAGCGCAAGGCCGCCTCCCTGGAGAGACAGCACATCTCTAACCTGGAGGAGATGAAGAGCTCGCTGGAGCGGCAGAGGCAGGCCCAGGAGCGGCTGGGTCCCGGAGACCGCGGGGACGAGGGCCGCAGGGCGTACAAGGCAGGCCATGGCTCAGGTAAAGCAGCACAGGCCTGGCATCTCCACCCGCACACATACTGCTCAGGGCCTGGGGGTGTGGAGAGGAGGGGTGCAGGAGGGGCAGGCCGCCCTCCATTAACAAGCTTACCGGTCCACCCTGCATTTTCAATATGATGCTGCCCCTCGGTGGGGCTACAGTCTCTGGGTGATGGAGCGTAGCATTGTTATTGAAAAATATTCTTTTAAAATATTCCATTAATAATCTTTTGACTGCTCACTGCAGGGTACGATTTGTCTGGTCCAGATAAAGGTCCAGTTGGGATATATGTGCCCATAATTAGCAGAACGGTGGCAAGCTGTCTGATGAGACCTTGTCCCCTGAAAGCAATGGGCCAGGTCGTCGGCGTCTGGATTTGGGGCACAATCCCCTCCGGATGCCAGTACCCCCTGCCAACTCTGCTCTGTCTAAGCGTGCAGCTCCTTGGCCACCAGGCTGGCAGATGGCTGGCAGCGCTGCCCCAAGTCCGGCAGGCAGGCTGCACGCTGGCACCGCTCCCTAGGCACCCCCCCCCACACTCACACAGATGCTGCACATACTCTTGTGTCTATAATCGCAATGCGAATAGCCTCCCTGACCTTTGACCTTTGGCCTTTGTGGGTGACAGAAGAGGCCCTGCTCCCATACAGTAAGCCCAGCTTCCCGTCCCCTGGGGGCCACAGCACCTCCGGCACCACGTCCTCCAAGGGCTCCACGGGGCCCCGCAAGGGGGAGGTCAGCAGGGGCGCCCACCAGCGGGCTGCCATAGACCACCCTGACCTGAGTTACTTGGGCACCAACGGCCAGGGACAGCACTCCAGAGAGCTGTGTAGGTGTTTCCTTCACACTTTGTGACTTTGTGGCTTTGACTGGCCTGTTGTCTCCGTGATTTACTGGGCTGACAGAAGCTCAGGCTTATAATGTTTTTCTTCAAATTTATAATGCTCATACAATGACAGCGACAGTGTTTATAGTGTCGAGGCAGCAGACACCAAGGTGGTATAGGACATAATAAAATTGCCCCCCTTTGAGGCATTTTTTAGAAGTTTTAGGAGGCGTGCTGGTTTACTTTTGAAAGCAGTTCTTTAGTTTATACAGCTATCATCCTGGATGGAAGTATTCCATACCGTGAGGTAACAGGGTTCAGTGTAGTGCTGCTGTATTGGCCACGTTACCGTTAGCCTTGTAGTGTTACACTTATAGTGACTGTTTGTAGTGTCTGCAGTGGCAGTTGGCCTGTAGGCCTTGCCTCATTGTCGCTGTCTGTGTGTGTGTGTGTGTGTCCCCCACAGCGTGAGCGGACTGAGAGATGACCGTGGCCCACCGATCCTCAACCCTGCAATGCCTCACCTCCTGGTGCAATGGACTTTTCTCCGTATTTGTGTACTGTCAGAACGAAAGAAAACAAATTCAAAGAAAAGCCAAACTGCAAATGTGATGTAAAGAAACACACCTTCTCACAATGCTGATTTTGTGTTTTATTTTTGGCCTAACGGGACGGTCTCACCCTCCTCCCAACTCAGCCAGTTCCTGCTGAGAAACAGTATCAAATTATGCAGTAAGTAAGCAGAAATTTCAAAAAGAACACATAAAAACGCCCACAGATTAATAGTCCTTGGGGGGAAAAAGGGGGGGTTTTGTTCCTGTAAATATATTTTTTGTTTTTGCATTGCTATGCAAGTCTAATTCTGTTTCTGCTTCTTCATATATCATTTTTTTTAGGTTATTTGTACTATATGTGAATCCATCGGCTAAGGTGCCATAAAAGAATTGTTTTATTATTCATGTTTGTTAATAATTATCATTAATTGTTTAATTAATATTATTAATTCCTATTGTTTTTTTGCACTGCAATCTTTTGGTGAAAAGCACAAAAAACATAACTCCTGCTGACATGAAGAACCGGAAGGATACGTGAAGAGGAGTTTCTGTACTGTAAACTAGGAAATAAGAAATATATACAAATGTATAGAGAGATATTAACGGTGTGGAGGTGTGAGGTGATCACTAACCCGACGCCCACTCTCACACGGGCAACAATAAGGCATTTAGCTACCATTCCCTCCTCTAGTTGCTCATGCTTAGACAAGCGATTTGTTTTTGACAGTATTTTGGGGGTGGCGTCTTTCCTTAACTATCACTCTTTGTGGTCTTTTAGGTACTTGGTTTGGGGGGCGGTATGCCTGTTAGAAACCCACTGCTACTGAGAATAAAGTGATGATAGATCATTGGAAAATAGTGCGTGGAAATGCAGGGCGAGTTTTATCACATGGGTAAAGGGTCCAATAGCCCAGGCGTCTGCGAGGAGCCCCAGAGGGAAAATGCTCCATCTCAGTAGGTCTGAGGGCCAGGAACGCGAAGCTCTGACTGCTTCTCCATCTCATCACACAGCATCAGCATGTCAAACCCCTGTCTGCCATTTTCACCCAGCATCACAAGGGCTTCCCTCTGCAGCTGGATGAGCAGAGCGCAGCCTGTGAGCAGAAAGACTACGGTTTGCAGCTGAGGCAGGTCTGTCCCCCTCACCGCAACTCCAGGTCCTCATGTTGGGGTTCCAGGTTCTTTCAGTGATGTAATTATTATTTGTTTTCAAGCTGTACCCTGACTAATTCCACCTCAGGGGACGTAAGCACTTAAAGTGTGATTGCTTTTGAAGTTACATCAAAAATAAACCTTAGTTGTAACCCAGTTTGGGTGTTCCAGTGTGGTTCATTTGATCACCTGGCTGTCTTGCTGACATCGTAGCTGAAGAGGCAGAATCCCTGATGAAGGTTCATGATGTGTCGGCCTCCTGGCAGGTCGGCTGCAGCACATTCCATGCATCCCTCGTCGGCACTGCAGACCTGCCCAATCAGGCCATGTTTTATAGTCCCCGAGGAATGAACTGCATTCAACATGATTTCATACCTCTCCTTGGATAGTCAAAACATTCCCCCCCCCCGCACTTCCATCCCATAAATTCACCACAAGCATCAAATCCATGAATAAACATTCAATACATTTCCATTTTCTGAACAGGAACCTGCTGGTTTGTTTTTCACTGCCTAGTGTCCAAACTCAGCCATTTGGATGCAGAACCGATGGGTAGAAACACGTACTGCTGATTCATGCAGGTCTAACTGGTTTCTATAGCCAAGCACCTGAATTTAGCCTGAGAAGTAGGTGCATACAAGATGGAAACCCAACCGGCTCAACCCTGCTGGTCCCAGAACGTTGGAAAGGAGCTTTGTTGCTGTTTGAAACTGGCCCCTAAGGAGTGCGTGCGAGGCAGGCCTGCAGTGCCACATCGGGGTGTGGGGCAGGCCGGTTTGGGGTGCAGAGTAGACCTGCAGTGGTGGCTATCCAGACTGCCGACTGCCACTGTTGGTGCCATATGGGATGGATTACAACCCCCCCCCCCTACACACACATGCACGCATACAGTGTCTCCCACAGTCACTTAACACAGGTGTTCAGCTGATTTTTATTTATTTATTTTTATTAAATCACTCCTTTTGTAGGCCTGTTCCTTCCTGTGGTTTTAAAATTCTTTTGTATAAGAAAAGGACTCACACTAAAACAGAAGCTGCTTAAAAATCAATTTTAAGCATTACCGTTCAGGATTTTACTAGTTCGACGACTGTTTTATTTCTCATCTTTTATATGAATAACAAATAAAGATTAGGGAAGTTTGCGATGTAACAGTCTGTCAGATTCACTGTTGTACCTTTGTATTAATGTCACCATCACGTCATTGGCCGACTGGCCAACTGGGCAGCCCCCTGGGAATGAGGTGCATGGAGTATCTCAGGTTATCCAGCATTCTGGTGGTGTTTGTGTGTGTACATTAGGTGTGCATGTGAATATACATGTGTATAAATATGCTGTATATTCATATGCATAACCCCCACTATTACTCTTACTCATTACTCTCTGCTGTAAAGTTTTCCCCCATAATCAGTCTAGTGTTCCATTTCCATCTTGGTGAGTTGATATGGGATGTACCAATTCACTAACCTGTGTCTGTTCGATGAATAATAACATGATGTCACGAATGGTACATGCCCATTTGAGATCACCTGCCATCCGTTTCAAGAGGTCTTAAACATTTTTGTGTCTTTTTTGATACTCATGTTTTTCTTTAAATTCACAGTGTTGTTGTTTTTGTATTTATTAAAATGATAATAAAAAGGTATATTGTGATATATGCATAAAGATTTGTGGAATATAAACTGTTTTTTATTATTGTCGACTTAGCTATCAGACGAGGAGCCATAGGGATTTGCTGAATCTCAAGATTATCACTAAAGTCAAAGTAGTGAATCATCAAGGTTTCAGATGTACTGAAAAATCTCTCTCTGTGTCCTGCATGTTCACCTTTGCTTCCTCTCATTTCCAAAATGAAATCTTTGAGAAAGACCTTTGTGAATGTTGAAGAGGTCGCCAGATGCTTTGCTGGATGTGGCCACACGGAGCGCTGTTGCTTGGACAGTTGAGAATTCCTTCGGCTCCCCCTCGTTTTTGGCTCCCCTTCCTTAATATTGTCAGTTCTTTGTAACCTGTGTGTTGCCTTTTTTGGTAAAAAAAAAAATAATAATAATAATAACAAAAAACCTCGTAGGGTGACGTCTGTGTAGAGGTGCGGGCTCTGCCCCGCTTATGATGCCATCGTTCTGTTCAGCTCCTCTCTCTCCCCTGAGCGAGCCTCTGTACTCACCTGCATGTTCTTGTCCAAGAAAAAAAATTGGAAATCTGAGATAGAGGAGAAGCTTCTGCAAACATCATCATCATGTTCTGTAAAATAAATCATTTTTCTTTTTCTTTCCTTGTACCTGGATCACTAGCAACAAATAAAATATTTTTGAAAAATCGGAAGCTCTCCTCGTTTGCTGTTTTTTTACTGTCTGGTTTGTGCACGTGCAGTGAACGCAGCATGAGGCCATACTGCTGGTCCTGGGGCTGTGGTGGTAAAGGTTGTTATGATTGCTGAACGTTTGATTCTGTCACCTAGAGGAAAGCATTGGTGAACTCCATGGAGTGCCAACGTGGATTTAGTGTAAAACAGAACAATGACCACGGGCACCTTTCAAAAGAACACAGATTCTTTGAGACAGAGCAAACTGTAGGCAGCTTTCAGCAAAAAGCCAGCCCACCAGCTACGGAGGCTCCATAGGCCTCCCTCATTGGCTCCCGGGTGAGGGGGGGGGGGGGGGCGATTCGTATGCGACTCCTGACGCAGCACTTCTGCATATTGAGGAAATCGGGAGCCAGGCTGGGATCAAAGCGGAGTCGGGTGGATGAGAACACTCAAAGCACTGAGGCGAAGGGCCTTTGGTGAGGGGGGGTTTGGGGGAGGCACAGGCCTAAAATATGAATCAGCCAGGAGGTGTCAGCATTTTCAACTCCTGGGTCTTCAGGTGTCACGTTTTAAATCTATGTCTGAAGGGGGCGCTCAACCAGGATGATGACCCCAGCTGAATAATTCAGGATGCAGAGACTAGATTAGGCTGTGCTATTATCCAGCAGCGGTATTTATCAAAACCTCTTAAACATGAACACTGTACCTGCGTCTGCTGACCTGGGGTCTCGGCAGGCCGTGATGTGGGGTCACCTGGCAGTGCTGTGCGTTTGAGTCCTGCTTGGGGTTCTGCTTCAGGTGATGCAGATGAGGATCTCCTCCCTCAGCTTACGGACAGGTGGTTTATAAATCCATATTATTAACATCTTCACTCCATCCATACAGGCTCGGTGGGGTGGGGGGGGGGGGGGGGGGGGGGGGGGGGGGGAGGTACCAAACCATCACGGAACATACTCACACCTACAGAAAATTTGGTAACTTCAATTAACCTCAGCATGTTTTTGGATTGTGAGGGGAAATCAGAGGACCTGGAGGAAACCCGACAACAACACAGGCAGAGCATGCAAACTCCACACACACGGAGCCATGGTGGGGACTTCAACACTGGACTCGAACACTTGCCAGAGCTGTAAGGCAACAGTGCTAACCACTCATTTGAGGGAAATATATTAACATGCTTTAATAACAATCTGTGTGTATCTGTGGTTCACCTCACTTCCTCACTCATTTAAGCACATGGAACTTTTCCAAGTGACCTAATAAATGTATGTTTATTAAATATATAGTAAAATATATCATCTCTAATTAGTATTACTGTTTAATTGATAATTTTAACAACACACTGCATACAACTTACAATTCATCCCACTTTAATCTTGTAACAGGACTGTTCAGGTTAAAGTACAAGAGTAGAATTTCCCCAGAGACACGGACGTTCAGCTTTGTCCCCTTAATCTGGCTGCCCTACTTTAAGTTCATGAAAAGTGCATTAGACTGCATTCGTATCTGGGGTAACCAAAACAGACCCGAGAAACCACTCTAAAAGTGTACGGTTTCTTATTTTTGGAGAATGCATTAGGTGATTTAGAGTCTGCACATGCCCTAGGTGTTTGTCTCTGGTCAGTACTGAGTGTCAGGCACGCCTCCAACGATCCAGCTGCTCTTGTTTGGGAAGAGGAACAGACTCCAAACTGGAGCAGCACATGCCGAGTGTCTTCAAGCCATGTTGCCCTGTTTGTAGTAACATCCACAGGGAGCTTTTGTCATTAGATACAATCAAAACAGAATCCTGAGATCCATTCACCAAGGATGATAGGTTAACCACATTTCATATGGCAAAATGCATTTAACGCACATATCTGTGCCATAGCTCGCTCCGGCTTTGATTTAAAGAGGAATTGATGACAGAATTGTGTTCCCTTTCATACAGGAGATGATCCCTCTAAATTTCCACGTTGAGATGCAGTAGCCACAACCCTAATAAACTGACAATAATAGCATTTATCGAAATAGCTGCCGATGAGCAGGAATGGAATACAGCTGCATTAGCAGATAATAAGTCCCGTCCACGATAGGCCACGTAATTTATGTGCCGGGTAATTTCATCGGGAATCCATCCCCCGCTTTCAGACAGCAACAGCACAGACGAGTTTTTTCTCCTAATCATCACCGCCCACGTTAACAAGCAGGATGCTCAGACAGGGGATCTGTAATGGGGAGTCGCTCTGTACTGGGGGGGTTACTCTGGGTACCTCGTGATACAGAGACCAGGGATCTGTACTGGGGGAGGGTCAATCAGAGCACCTGGTCTTGCAGAGACCAGGGATCTGTACAGGAGGGGTTGGGGGGTCACTTTGGCCACCTGGTGATACAGAGACCGAAGATCTGTACTGGGGGGTAGCGTCACTCTGGTGACCTGGCGGAGGCTAAAGTGATTGTCACCAGGAGCAGACTGTGGGAAACAGGGTCTCCTGGGTGACTGTGAGGGTCACCATGCTTCTCATTCTGCCCTCAGTTGGACCCCAAAAGCATCCTGGGCTCTCAGAAGCAGCTTTTATACTCTCTGCATACTGGTTACTCTAATGTACTACAAATACACCTCTGCTTCCTCTGCTTTTCCAGGCAATTTTATTCGCTACTGAACAGGTGTGTTTTAACAACCATCTTTTAAAGCAGGTGTTCTTCCAGCTGGAAGTTCATTCTGACCACAGGTGCTTCACCTTTGGTAACTGAAAATATAAGAATTAAACAGCAGTCTAGTTAATCCACAAACTGCATGCCCTGAGCCAATTTACTGCAAGCACAAAGTTCCAATCCTGCAATGGAAGTTTTCCAGGTCTAGCATGAACTGTGAACCTATAGCAGTATAACATCTGTATTATTCATCTGTGCAAGCTCAGCTACAGAATGAAGTGATGCTTTATTAATACATACACACAGGTGAGAGCGAAGCAGGGGATGCAAACGGGTGACCTTCTGACCACAGACACAGAGGTCCAACTGCTTGAGCCACACACAGCCATCATTCATAATTGCATACCCAGTACAGGATCATGGTGATAATTATTACAAAGTCCAACTAAAATGGCACAAAAAAATCTAAATATTACGTACAATATAAAGAAAATGAGTACAATTATAATTATGTAGAACACTGGCATTAATTCAATTAAAGCCTTTGGAGATCATAGCTAAAAGAGGACAGCGCAGTGTTGGGCAGTGACAGCAAAGTTCTCTTTTGGTTTTAGATGGTTTGTAGTCATTGTTGAAGTTCCCTTATCTAAGGAAAAAAGCTCCAGAGAAGGTTTCAACCTCCCTCTGGGGAAAAATCAGAGTGTCACAGTAAGGAAGGAATGAGACTCAAGCTGAGCTTCATAGTCCTGGTTTGAGGATTCTAATCTGTGCTCTCTCTAAAGCACCCCCCATCCCACATGTCTTCAGCAGCTGCACACCCACTTGTACAAGCAACCGGCAGCCAGCCACACGGCCCTTTGACAAATATCCCACGCACACAGCTACCATCATGCATCACATGACAAGCCATTCCCTGGAAACGAGTGGAAAATCTACAGGTTTGCATTTAGAGATGAAGGTGGCTAATTCACTGTGCCCCTAACTAATAGCCTGCACGGAACTGTGATTGGGCAGTTCCCCTCATGCCGTCTGCTCCACAAACCCCCCCCACGCAGGGAACAGCTGGAATGACAGATGCCTGTTCCCATGCTCTTCAATCCTGCAGCTCCTGCTGTTGGCCAGATCGCTGTTTTTTACTGGTGCGTTAGTCTGCTTCATTGGCCCGATTTCAAGAGCTGAGACTATTTGTAAAAGCACATAATGCCGAATTGCTCAAAGCATCAAACAGTGTACATAGGCTTGTAGAACAAGAAGAAGAATAAGCAGCAACACTGAGGTGAGGTGAACTCATAGGGATGGACTCACAGCAGCAGTGACTGTCCCCACAGTACCCAGAGACTTCATGGGATGAACAAAGGAGAGACAGAGCTTCTGTCCTGTAGGTGACGTGGGTAGCAGAGGCTCTGCTTACCTTTAATTCCACCCTGCTGATGAGGATGAGGATGAGGATGAGTGGGGGCTGTTTAATTTGCTTTATGACGCGTGTCACTTGTTTACAGCGGTGTGTCGAGCCATGTGGACAGTAAAAGCATTTCATTCCACTCCTCTGCTCGCTCACTCCTTTCTCCTGTTCTTTTTGTGTCACCTTCATTTCTTTCCCTCTGTTCTTCTTTCTCTCCTCTACCCCCTTTACTCCTTCTACATCATTCATCATGGCCTGTGTTTGTCAGGTACCGATGCTCGTTGACATGGTTAACTCCCTGCAGTTCTGACAGCTGAATAA